CACTTCTCTCCTTCCTCCCGGCATCTTCTCTTCGTCTTCCTGATCAAGAACAAAATCAGTTTCATCTGTTCTCATGACCACTTATAGTCTTCATGAGCTCGGCTTGGTGAACCATTTTTAATTTATCTTTTTTCCACCTAATTCAGCGTTTCAGAACCATGCCTTCCCACTTAATGAACATAAAGATACCTTGCCTTCTCACTGAATGTTGTTTCAATTTTCAAAGATGTGCACACCCAACTAGTATCGTGACTAAAAGACAGCTCCTTTTGAATACAGGTTATGCTTGTTTTCAAATAACAATTCCTCTAAACAAAATAGCTGCCACCTGTTTTAGAGATTCCAAACATCACCTCCCCGCTGGGGGTTGAGGGGGACACACGGACTCCCAGTTAGAATCGCTATTCCTATTCAGGCATGAGCCCTGGGCTAAGACTACTTGCTTTACCTGACTGCCAGGTTTAGCATCTGAGGAGGAGGGTTTCTCTGTGACCCAGGCTGCTCTGTCCTGGCCCCAGGCCTTTGTCTCTGACCCCCTAGTGGCCAGTCCCAGGTAGCTACATTTCACACTCACCCTCTCCAAACCTGAACGCAGCTTCTTCCGCTCCAGCCATCGCTTTCCTCTGACTTCCCAGCTCCCTGGAAGCACACGATTGTCCTAGGAACTTGGGGGTGATCTCGGGGCCATTTTTGGTTTCTCTTCCTCCTTTGACCCCATATACAGTAAGTCGCCCTGTCTTGTAGAGACCTTCCGCAGCATCTCTGTCCTCTGTGCCTTCTTTTACATCAGCACTGCTGGTGGCTGGTTTTGGCTTCCATCACCTGCTGCCTGGATTCTTGTAAGAGCCTCCTCCTACCCTGTCTCTTCTGTGCCAAGTTTGTTCTGCACACACCACCAGCCCTTCACTCTTTCATGTCCTATTGATTGAGTAAATATCATGTACCAGACACTGCATGACATGCTAGAGAGCATACGAAATAGAGATTGGGTGTCCCCACTCCACGGTGCACACTGGCCATGTAAAAGGAAAATGAGGCTGGCACCGTGGCTCACACCTGTAATCCCAGCACTTCGGGAGGCCGAGGCAGGCGGATCGCCTGAGGTCAGGAGTTTGAGACCAGCCTGACCAACGTGGTGAAATCCCGTCTTTACTAAAAATATAAAATTAGCCAAGCATGGTGACACATGCCTGTAATCCCAGCTACTCTGGAGGCTGAGGCAGGAGAATTGCTTGAACCAGGAGGCGGAGGTTGCGGTGAGCCGAGATCACACCACTACACTCCAGCTTGGGTGACAGAGCAAGACTCCATGTTAAAAAAAAAAAAAAAAAAAAAGAAAATGAAACATCAGGGCTTTCTAAATTTATTATGCCACGGTGAAAAGTTAAGCCTTGGAAACTGGGTCATGCCATATAGCTGTTTTTCTTCTCTCTTGCAAGGACTATTGCTTCCTGGCTTGTGTGTTGACATATTATATAGTAATCAGACTCCCTGGTCTATATTCAAACCTAGAGTAAATGTCATTGGAGAAGGAGGCCCTTGTGAGGGCTAGCACTTTACATTAGAATGTTAAGCAACCCCTTGAGAGTGTAATCAATAGCAGCCAATCAAATCTTGTATCTGTACATTAGCCTTTGTATGGAAAACATTGCTCCTGTTCAGCACAGAAAACGTTGTAATTCTGTTCAGTACCTCTATTTTTGCCTATATAAATGATCTTCATTCCCCACCTCTGCATTGGGAGTACTGATTGCCACTCTTCCGTGTTCACGTGTCTCCAGGAGACCACTCTCACATGCTATGCTTGAAAAAACTCTTTTAACCAGATCCTGAGCCTTTTGATTATTTTAGGTTGACAAGCTCTGGATTAACTTTCTAAGATTTCTCCTTTGATTCTCTCTCATCTGCTCAAAAACCTCCAGAGGACTCTGTTCTGTTTCTAGCTATTTAGGCGAGTGTGTGGCACAGAGCAGGAACTTCACATGTATTTGTTGAATAAATCCAGTTGGACAGCTGATGGCTAAGAGTCTTGGCCTGGTGCTTGGTCCAGACTCCATCACCTGGCCCTTTCTGGGTCACCCAGCAGAGCAGAAAGAACTTGGGCTTCAGGATCAGGCAGACCTGGGCTGACATTTCAAGGCCCATACTTCCATTCCAACTTTGCGAGCTCAGACCACTTCCTTAACTGCTCTGAGCTTTGTCTTCTTTACTCTACAGTGGGATACTTGTAACTGCTTCGTAGTGTGGTTATCAGGATGAAAAGACATGACTATATGGGAAGCACACGGTATAATATTTGGTGGCACATAGTAGGTAATAAAATAATAACATTGTAGGTGGCACATAGTAAATGTCTATCTAATTTGGGTATATAGATTTGTGTGCATGTGTGAGAGAGAATTAAAGTATTGTGTACCAAGTGCCAAACCTGATTCCCAGCACGTAATTGATGTCAATAAATACTACTTCGCGTGACCTTTATCTGTCCTCTACAAACATTGTTTTTCACACGGACCAGCCTCTTCTCCACAGGCGTAAGCAACACAGTGTGATGTTTTCCTTCTTGCCTCTCCTCCCTCCTTCATCTTAGATATCCTCCTAAAATAAATCTCAGCAAAGAAGAGCGAACGAGGAAAACGAACAGAGTTTGCTTATTGTGTTGAAGAAAACTGCATACTAAGTGATTTGAAGTGCAGTAATCCAAACATTTCCTCCTCTTGAGTTCATCAAATACTGTTTTGTGACCTGGTGCTTCGTTTACATAGGATGAAGTCACAACAAAGCTTGTCTCTTGCTATGGAGCAGTGGTTCCGTCTTCCAAGGGTGGTCCCCAGACCAGCAGCATCAGCGTCACGTGGGTACTTGTTAGAAATGCAGACTGCCTGGCCTGACCCCAGGTGGCCTACATTAGAAACCATGGTGTGGGGCCTGGAAATCTGCATTTCTGCAACTCCACTGAGTGATTCTGAGGCTGGTTGAAGTTTGACAACCGCTAGTGGAGATGTTATGAAGATAGAAGCAGACAACGTTTTTAGCATAGAGGAGTTCAAAGGTCAGTGTTATAGGCTTTGGAAATGCAATTTGGGTCTTTGGGTTGACGTTTTTGTGCCATTCAAACTCATTTTTTTGGGGGTATGGTACTTGGAACAGGTCTGCTGCTGGCTGTGTATTTGTATTTCTAAAGTAGTACCCAGTACTCTTGAGCCCATTTCTGCTTCTGAGTGTTTTCTTGTGTTCTTCCTCTTCTTTGTTTTTTTTTGAGACCGAGTCTCTGTCGTCCAGGCTGGAGTGCAGTGGTGCAATCTAGGCTCCTTGCAACCTCTGCCTCCCAGGTTCAAGCGATTCTCCTGCCTCAGCCTCCAGAGTAGCTGGGACTACAGGCGTGCGCCACCATGCCCAGCTAATTTTTGTATTTTTAGTGAAGACGGGGCTTTACCATGTTGGCCAGGATGGTCTCGATCTCCTGACCTTGTGATCTGCCCGCCTCAGCCTACCAAAGTGCTGGGATTACAGGTGTGAGACACCGCGCCCATCCTCTTTTTCTGGAAAACTATCTTCCCTCTTTCCAGCCCATCCAAGTCTTCCCAATCTTAAGTTTCAGACAAAGTCTCTTTGATGGCCCCTCTATATCTCTAAGGCCTAGTCACCTCTCCATCTGCTGAGTTACGTAACCTCTGTTTCTGCTCTCAGCTTTTTGAGTGTGGAAAATTTTCCTTTTCATCTCTGCATCCCCCATCTCCTTGAGAAAGGCTTTGGTATAACACGAGTTCAGGAGTATTAGACATTGGGAGTAAGTCACCAGGACAAGGTAAACCCTGCCTTGGAGAATATCACCCGCATTGGTATAGAGTTACAGAGAAGAGTCCCCATGGAACTCATTGACTGTATATGGGACGAGTTGGTGGCTAGGTGGTTGCCATGGTTGAACAGCCAGTGGCACCGGCATGGTTTACACAAAAGTCCTGGACAAGGAGGTTTTCTGGTCATCTACTGGGCAGCCTTTTAATCTAAACTCATCGGAAATTCCACTTTAGAGCTCCCACTTAAGAGTGATAGAAACTTCTATCATGGAGCATGTCCAGAGGAATATTCATGGGATGGCAAGGAGACTTAGAACCATGCTGAATGCAGACCCAGGAGTGAGAAATCTCACATCTGCCGCAAGGAGCTGAAGATCTGCCATGAGGCAAAATGATTAGATTTATCCTGTATGGGACACTGTGGGTAGAACTGGAGAGTAAATGAACTACAATGCCTGCTCTCTGACTTACTTGCTAATGTCTTACCAGCCTCCAGGTCAGTACCTGGCTGGCACAGAGTAGGTACTCAATAAATATTTGTTGAATGAATGAATGAATGACCCAATGAAAACTATAGGCAGAGGTAACACAAAGGCAGATTTGTGTCTGTATAAACGTAACTAACAGACTTCCTAACAATTCTTTATAATAACACAAAGGTAGATTTGCGTCTGCATAAATGCAACTAACAGACTTTCTAACAATTCTCTATAATGTGAGTGCCTTAAGGCTGAGCTAGCTGCTATAATTTTCTGGATACCAGTGTCTTGCACAAAGCCTGGGAAGCGTTTGTAAGCCATAGGAACTGATGGTGGTAGTGTGAGCTCTCCTGGAAAATGGTGGACTGGATGACTAGTTGGAGGAAGGTTATCAAAGGGGATTTGATGCAAATGGGTACTAGACTAGAGGACCTTGAAGTCCCTTTCATCCTGGAGATGCTATGTTTTAGGGCCAGCTGAAACGCACATTTGCTGCTTCAAGGGCCCTCGTGGTGAATTCATTCATCTTAGGAATGGGGTCAAAGTAGCATCTTTGTTAGCATAGACTAGAAGCTGGCTAGCTGCCCTTTTCCAGGGTTTATTGAACAACTGGCCATTGGCTGATGTGTTTTAGAAATAGGGGAGGCTATAAAGCTTCTGATGCTCTGAGTGTGTCTGAAGATTAAGGAAATTTAAATTTTGTTCTAGAGTCTCCCAAGCAATGGACAATCAAGGTAGGTGCATTTCAAAGAAATGCAAAAATCTTTCAAAAGATGAAAGATCAAAGTTCTTGAGTATGTATCTTCTGTAAACAAGGGTGATGAGGGTCAACAGAAAGGGAAGATGCCTAGGAAGGAGGGTGTGGCCCTGAGAACAGACACCATAAAGTGTTAATCACTGCCCATCTTAATTAGCCTGTAGACTCCAGTACACAGAAACATAATTTTATTTCCTGAAAATTGCAAACCATCCAGTTTTATTATAAGCCTTTTTTCTCACTTCCAAAACTGCTTATCTGTTTCTCGTATGCACAGGGAAAGTCTTAATTGCCAACATCTGTTTTATAGCTTGTATTTTCTTTTTAATTCAGTTCAAAATACTTAAAAACTTTTTCATTTGATTCCTTCTTTAATCCAAGGATTATTGAAACGTGTGTTAGTTTTCAAACACCAAGATCAATTTGGAACTTAGGTTTCATTTTCAGTTTTCCAATAATTTTTATAAAATAACTTTCCACCTTTTTTTCTGTTACTTTCCTTCAAAAGGAACCTGGCTGTTTACTTTTCCTTATACTTGAGGAATGTCAGCTTCCAGGGCAGATCCTTACCTTTCACTTACCTTTACCTGAAGACCATGGTTCTAACATTCAAGGCTTTTCACAACCTGGTCTCAATGTAACTTTTCAGGCTTGAGAATAATGTCTCCATTAGAAGCATGAACACAACTAGACTATTTTCCATTTTCCGAATGTTTGATTCTGTTTATCTTGTTTTCTATGAGAGAAACTCACTCCCCAACCCTTTATGGAAAATATCATTCAAAACACATTTGGAAAATCCCCTACTCCATGAAGTCTTGTTCTGGTCTCTCAGTGAGCTTTCTTCCACCTTGAAATCTTTGCAGCTCTCTTAAAAAATACCTCCTTTTACTGTCTTCATAATATCAAGATCAGTTCCTTTCTTTTCTTTCTTATTAAAACCTAAAATCCCCTTCTTACAAGACAGCTTGGATGCGTGTTTGTCCTGCACTGGGCACTCTATAAATATATCTATCAAAACAAACAAGTCACGATTTTTCCCTTTTCTCAGTGTACCTGATTGACTAATAGTTTATGTTTTGCTGCAATGGGAACATTCAGAGGTAGAAAAAGAATCGGGGAGTGAGAGAAACTTGCAGAAAATTTTAGGAGTCTTTAGTTCTTGATTATTTTATAGACATAAGCTGACAGAAGGGGAAAGATTTCACAGCCACAGGAAGCTTGCTGCTTGAAAAGACCCTGATTTCTGTTTTCCAGGACCCTGCAGTGATGGGAAGCAAGAGCTTAGGGCCTCTTTCATAAGCTCATTAACTCTTTATAGGAAACAAAAACCACTGACTAATAGAGCGATTGTATAACAATTGACATAAATATTAATGAGGAAAATGCCAGTTTTCTGGCACCAACACCCACTAAGGCCTATATAAGGTGTACTGGAGAAGGAAGTTTTGGTTTCCAGCACATCCAACTGTGGGCAAAGCAGGATCTCACCGTTTAGCACCGTGACTTCTGACCATTGCAGTTCCCTCCTCAGCGGTCGAGTTTCAGAGGTCAAGGCTGCCTCACTGTGCTACTTGGCTAATGTGGCACACGCCAGCCGAGTCCGTGTGGGGTCAACCCCCCTGGGTGGCCCCAGCCTCTGTCTGTCACCCCCTTCCACCTTTCACACTGCTTGTCCCTTGCCAGGGACCTGCCACGTTCCTGGCAACATCGGAATCTGTGGGGCAAAAACACCCTGAACAGCCACGAGAAGGAGACCATGCAGTCCCTGAATGACTGCCTGGCCAGCCACCTGGATAAGGTGTGCCAGCTGGAGTGGGAGAATGCGGAGCTGGAGACCAAACTCCCAGAGAGGAGCAAGTGCCACGAGTCCAGCATGTGCCCGGACTACCAGCCCTGCTTCCGAACCCTCGAGGAGCTCCAGCAGAAGGTGAGGTTTGTGGTGTACCAGATCAGGGCTCAGGAATCTACTTACTGCCCATTGGCTAAATCCGGCCTGCCACCTGTTTTTGCAAATAAAGTTGTATTGGTTCATGGCCATGCTCATGCATTTGTGTGCTATCTACGGCTGCTTTTGTGCTACAGTGGCAGGGGTTCAGTGGTTGTAATGGAGACTGTATGGTCTGCAAAGCCTAAAATATTTACTATCTGACCCTTTACAGAAGAAGATGACTGACCCTGGGTCAGCAGTGGATTTTTTTTTTTTAAATGTGGGAAGAGAATCTCTTGAGTGAAGGTGAATGGGAATTTGTAAAGATGAGATGTAGAATTTCTCTCTCCAGGATTTTGAGTTCATGCTTACTTAGCTTCAGCACATAAAATTCCTAAATCGTAGTCACAAAAACCATGCTAATTTTATGAAAACCATGTGCTGAGTTTATGAAAGCTGCAGCAAACAGAGCAAAAGAAGTATTTCCTAATATCCTTGCCGAGGCAGTGCCTATCCACACAACCGCATCGACCTCTTATGGTTATCTGTTGTCACCTTTGATGATCCAGTCAAAGCTTCTGAAGCACTTGATTCTTAGTTTTGGAGACAGGAAGACAAAGAATGCTAAAATAGGGGTCACAGAAACCTGACTAGATTCAGAGAAGACCCGTGGGGAGGTTGGACAACCAGAGGAAAGAATTTATTTAGAATGGATCCTACTTTATCTAAAACATTCATAGCCAGTCCACTGTTTTGTGGCCTAGATTCCGGACTTTTTTTTTTTTTGAGATGGAGTCTTGCTCTGTTACCCAGGATGGAGTGCAGTGTTGCAATCTTGGCTCACTGCAACCTCTGCCTCCTGGGTTGAAGTGATTCTTGTGCCTCAGCCTCCCGAGTAGCTAGGATTTCAAGCATGTACCCCAACTCCCAGCTAATTTTTGTATTTTTAGTAGAAATGGGGTTTCACCATGCTGGCCAGGCTGGTCTTGAACTCCTGACCTCAGGTGATCCACTTGCCTCAGCCTCCCAAAGTCCTGGGATTGTAGGCGTGAGCCACTGCGCCTAGCTGGATCTTCTGATTTATATTGGGCTAAGCATCATATCTGGAAAAATGAAAGCAAGTCTTCATTATATGTTCAGTTTGCTACTGTCTTCCATCTCCTGGTTCCTTTGACTCTATGCCTTCATCCTTTGCCAAGAAGTCTCTTGCACGTCTTCCTTCCCACACCACGAAAGCATCTCTTGCATGTTTGGGAGTTTGTGTTGTCCAGGGGGATGCTGTGGTTTCAACTTCAGCCAAGGAAACTTTCTCTCACCTAAGGCCATCGGTGTCTCTGGGATCAGTAAGTCACTCACTTAGCCTACTTTCTTATCCCAGATTCTGTGCACCAAATCACAGAACAGTAGGCTGGTTGTGCAAATAGACAATGCCAAGTTGCTGGGGATGACTAGTGAGTTGGGGTCAGATGGGGACAGGGAGGAGCCAGATACCTACTTTGGCTGCTTCTGTCTCATGTGGCATCAGGATGTCATCGACTCAGACCCCAACCCAAATAGTTACAGCAGGAGAGAACAAAGGGCATTAAGCTCAAGATCTTGAAAAACGATCTGCTCTCCAGTGGTTTAGCATTAACGGTTTATAACATGTGCTAGAATGCATCATCCACCTGGTAAGATCCCTGTGAAGCAGGTGGGCAGGAATAGCATTTCCTCCACAGGTGGGCTTGGGGTGCTGGTGTGACCTGCCAGAAGCCAGGTGACTACTGAGTGGCAGAGCTGGGACTTGGCCTTACATTTTGTACAAAATTTTCCTTTCTTGAGGCTATTTCCTGGGGGACTCTATTGCCTTAATATGTTTCTATGCTGCAGCTTGATTAATTTGTAAGTGCTGATAATTCATTGCAAAAATCATGCTCCATAGCCTAAAATGAAAACATGGGAAAGCCAGAGGGTTGACACCACCTGAGAAGGGTCTGCCCTCAGTGCTGAAATGGGCACTGTGTTTTATTATCTTTCTTCAGGGTACTCTGCAAGTCTCACTCTTCTAGATCTAAAGAAAGCCATTTCCTTCCTCTCACTCTGGCAATGTGGCTTTTACTCCAAGAGGGAATCCAGGGTCCCTTTGAATGCGGGGCCGGCACGGGGGTTGTAGAGAGGGGTCTGCAGTGATTACACCATGTTGCAAATGCCTGGTTACTTTGCCACCTCCCTTTTGGGCCATCTGCCTGTAAAGGCAGGTGCTGGCTGCGTGTCCATCACAGTATCCTCAGTACCAGCTGCTCTACTTGGTTCATCTCAGGTGCTTAGTATTGACTGAGTGGGGAACATCCTGTTGCTTTCTGGGCTTTGAGCACACTACACAGGAAAAGCCAACTCACAATTACATGGCAAAGGGCAGGCCAGTGGACTTACAGCTATGAGCTGGGAGTCATGTCCTGGTGCCCCTTCCTGCTCTGTAACTGTAACTCCTGCACCTTCCATGTTACAGGTACGAGACAGAGCACTGGCTGCACCAGCTGGTGGAGGCTGACCTCTGTGGCCTGCACAGGGTGCTGGACAACCTCACCCTTGCCAAATGTGACCCGGAGGCCCAGCTGGAATCCCTGAAGGAAGAGCTGCTTTGCCTCAAGAAGAACCACGAGCAGGTGTATGGCCCTTGGTGTGATGCATTGAGACTTTCTGGAGGTGAATTTAGGCTCATTCAGGGAAAAAAAATGGAGTCTTCCTTCTGCTTGGGATTGAAGCTCTGCAAGTGAGCTCTGGCTCTTCGTGGGAGATTGCTTTTTATCCACAGCCTCCGGAAGCTGCTGGGCTGGTGCAGGCAGCAGTTCATCTTCAGAGGAGCACAGGGAAATCACTGGGGAGGATGGGAAGTGGGAGCTGAGAGTTTGGGTGGAGGGCAGTGGTGGGGGGTGGCTACAGGGGCATCATACTCCTCTGATGACCACAGGAAGCCTGCACTCCGAGGGGTCAGCTGGGAGACAAGCTCTGGATCAAGCTGGACATCGAGCCACCACTGACCTGAGCAGGGTGCTGGGGGAGATGGCGAGGTCAATACGAGGCCAGGGTGGAGACCAACCACCAGGATGTGGAACAGTGGTTCCAAGCCCAGGTGACGGGCACTGCTGAGCTGTGGGGATTGGCTTCCATCTGAGCAGGGAGGTGGCTATGCCTCTCTGTGCTCCAGTCTGAAGGCATCAGCCTGCGGGCTCTGTCGGGCTCTGAGGAACTGCAGTGCTTCCAGTTGGAGATCCTGGAGCTGAGACGCTCGGTGAATGCCCTGGAGGTGGAGCTTCAGGCTCAGCACATACCGTTGAGTCCCTCTGCACATGTGGGAAACACAGCTTGGCTTCCAGTACCCATGAGCAGTTCTCTGGGATCAGTACAGGCCTCAAATACCAACCACAGACTCAGCTTAAACCTTGATTTCATCTCCTTTGGAAGCACTTTCTTTTAGATGTGGATGCTGAGTCCATCAACATTAACACAGGGCAGAGGGCTCTGATCTTAAAGGTCTACCAGGAAGAGCAGTAGCACAGTGTTAGTTCTGGCTGAAGACAGCTAAAGGCTGTTAGATTGCTCTCTGGACCTGGCCATGTCTAGGGGTGTCACGATCTTAAGAGGTTGGAAGCAGAGATCCATGATTTTTAACTTGTTTCCCCCTTTCTTTGATATCACAGAAGGACTGTCTGCAGAACGCCCTGTGTGAAGCCGGGCACCGCTATGGCATGGAGCTGGCCCAGATGCAGGGCCTCATCAGCACTGTGGAGGGGCAGCTGTGGAGGAGCCGCATCAACAATGTGGAGGAGCAGCTGTGGAGGAGCCTCATCAACAATGTCGAGGAGCAGCTGTCCGAGATCCAGGCTGACCTGGAGCGGCAGAACCAGGAGTACCAGGTGCTGCTGGACGTGAAGGCCCGGCTGGAGAACGAGATTGCCACATACCGGAACCTTCTGGAGAGCGAGGAGTGCAATTACGTGTCCTGTTGTTGTCTATGTCAACACTGTGTGCAAAGAGAACTTCTCTTGGGAATAACCTAAAAGGAGCTCTGGAGGCCAGCTGGGGGCGGCATTGCAGACGCCATCGCTGGAGACAAACTTGCTACGAGTAGACCTGGTGAGCTGATGCCTGCCTAGACGTAGATGAGGGTGTGCAGGAGTTTTCAGGTCATGGCATTTGTTTTGCTGACCACGCTGTGCTCCCAGTTGCTGGCTGCTCCCACAAAGGGCTAAAATACTGAGTGCCCAGTGCACTTAGGTGTTGCTAAATTCCCTCCAGAAGAAGTATTCCAATACGGAGTATCTTTGTGCTCATAACATTTTAAAGTATTGCTAAGGGCATGTGCGCATACTCTTTCATTTTAGTTCCACAATAGCCCTGTGAAAAGAGTAAGAGGCTGATCTACCCCTCTAAGCACTAAGGAACACTACTAGGGGCTGTGTTTAAGTGGAGTCGGTGGCTGACATCTGGGTGGTTCTTGTTCCTCTGGTCTTTTTCTCTGCTGTGTTCCTTCCACATGGAATGTGACCCTGGCTTTGCACACAGGTATGCTGAGTGCTGGTCTGAGCTCCACTGTGGACTCTGGGCACATTCTTGCCCCTTTCAGGCTTAGAGAGACCTCTAAGGTCTAAAGTCCTTTTTCACTCTTAATTCTAAAGTGTCTATAATATACTTTTGTCTTTCACATACTTCTCATGCCAATGTTTCAAACATCTTTTTTTCTCTACGCAGATTTCCCTGCAACCTGTGAGTGATCCCAGCCTTCAGCAACCCCAGTCCCACCCCTGCAGCCTGTGCCCTCTGCTCCTGGGCCACCCATGGGCCCTGCTCATCAACTGGATACTGACACTCTCAGCCCGAGGTGCTGGGAAAGGGGAGGCGTCTTCAGCCCCTGAGGCTCCACTGTGCAGGCCTGCTACCTGGGTTTTGCCTCCCTGGCCAGCCAGGCGGGAGGCTGGAGAGAGGCAGTACCACTCTGTGGACAGGTTTCTGAGTCTAGCAGCTCAGCCTCTGTGGCTGGATTTGTGTTTCCTTCCCTCAAGGTGTCTCGAGTGATCCATTTTCTCTCTTCTGTTGCCTCCTGCGCTCTCTGAGATGGGGCAGATGTTTTTATTATGCTATTAGACTTCACTTCTGCAGCAGAATGGGCCCAGTACATTCGGACCTCAGCATCTCCATCCCACGTGGAGAGCCTTGCTGGGAACCCCCTTGGGCCACCTGCTCCTGTAGACAGGGGTTGTGGCTGGCTCACCAGAGTGGTTCTGGGAGATGGCAAAGCCAGTGAAGACCAGGGTGAAAATGGGACTGCGGCAAAGTGGCACAGAGGAGAGATACATAACCTTTGACCTGACCAAGCGTATTTAGAGACAGATTAACAGAACTTTTAAAATACAGACACTAAGTAAAATTTCCCTTTTATCTGGATAAGCCACCTGGTCCTTCTGCAAAGGAAGAGCTTAAGTCAGTGGTCTGCAGCACTACAGACCATTGCAAAACCCTGAAAATATTAAATGATGGTGATTGCTATCAGTCTAGAGAGGCCCAAACAACCTGGTCCATCCAGGCTCCCCAGATAAGTCCCACTGGTGAGTCCCGCAGCTCTCTGGCTTGAAATTTGCAGACAATAGAACATGAACCAGAAGCTCCAGAACAGGTTGCTGAAATGGAGCTTTAGGATGACATGCCTATTGTGAGCAAGGCACTGGCTGGGGCTTCACAGACACTGTGTCATGGGCCCCACATCAGCCCTACAAAGAAGCAGCAGCTGTTATTATTCTCAGCCGGTGGCTGCGTCAAGACTTGAAACCCAGTCTCTTTGAACCAGATCCAAAGTCTGTCCTTTGGAAGCTTTGAGGGGGAAATGAATTAGACATAAGAAGGTTTAGAATAGTGGTTCTTAAAGCGTGGTCCTCCAACCGGTAGCACCGGCATCACCTGAGAACTTGCTAGACATACATTCTTGAGCACCACCCCTGACTTTCGGAACCAGCAGTCTGTTTTATTATGACTTGCAGGTGATTCTGATGTTGGTTCAAGTTTGAGAACCAACTGGGTTGGGTGGTTTATTTGAGGAGTGAGCCCCTGACTAGCCAGACCCTCTACAGAAAGGGCTGGTCTTGCCCTCTTGGTATGCCGTTCAGTGAGGAATCCCTCATACCATCAGGATGGAGCCTTTCTCTTTCACATTGCAAAACTCTGAAAATGTTTAATGGTGGTTATTCCTATCAGTCTAGAAGGGCCCAAACAAGCTGACCCATCCAACCTCCCCAGTAACCCCCACTGGTGAGTCCTTCTGGCAACTGTCCTGCTTGGAATTTGCAGATAATAGAACATGAATCAAAAGCTCCATATTTTGATAGCCATGGCTGAGAATCAGCACATCCCCGGAATTCAGGATCACAGCTGGCCAGAGAAGAGAAGCAGTGAGTTCCCCGTCCTTGGAGACAGGCAGAGGCTTCAGAATCACTGGTGGGGATGTTGAGGGGACACTCAGGGGACTGATGGTTCCTGGTTGAGATGGCTGTAGGTCTTCTGGCCACTGCCCCCAACTCTGCTTCTAAGTCTTCTTGATCAGCGAAACCACAGGCATTGAAGTGGAACCACCAAACCTACTCTAGAAGCTGGTTTTCGCCTTCCCTTTCTGTCCTGTAAATTCTCTGAATCACCATAGTTTGCTGAAAAATTTACAAGTACAGCTAATGCTAGTTTAATCCAGCTTTTCTTGGTACAGAGCTGTGGTGCCGAAGTGACCACAGTCCCGAGTCCCAAGGCTGGAGGGAGCTTAAGTGAGAATCTGGTCACTCTGCCTCCAACTGTTTTTCAAGCCCAGGGTCCTACTTGTTGGTCACTGCTCATGTAGAAACAGGATGGATTTGCTTGAGAGACATTGGTATTTCCAGCCTAGGAAGCCCAGAAAGGGTCAGAGGCTGCCACAGCCTCCCTTCCTTTGTTCTTTTTCTCAAGTGGTAAAAGTGTTTTGGCACAGGTGACACACCCCTTGGGCACCTACCCAAGAGAAGGTCTCAACAGTAAAGAGCGATCTCGATTAGTCTTAATTTAGCACCTAGCCCAGCCGCCCTCACCTCCTCCTTTGTACTTAAATAGCTCCTTTCATCCAACAAGTTCAAAGCTGTCTAACAAAATAAACCTGCTTATTCTTGCACCATGATAGCGTAGGCAAGCATTGACCTTCCCATTTAAGGGAGAGAGAGGGAAGGTGAGTCATTCAATGGTTGAAGGAGTTTGCTGGTGACATAAAGTGAGTCAGTGGGGCCCAGGGTGACTGACCTGTGTTTCTTGAGTTCACATCCAATGCTCTATCATTTCTAATTAAAAGATTAGCTTTGATGAGACCATACGTGTGTGTGTGCATGTGTGTGTGTGTGTGTTTGTTGTGTGTGAAGAGTTTCCCTGGAAACTACACAGCTCATTATTACCATTACCATCACCAGAATCATCATCATCATCATCATCATCATCACATATCATATAGCTTCATTCATCATCATCATTATTGTCATAGAAGCATATGTCCATCAAGCTCTTACTATGAACCAGGTGCTGGTCTAATTTATAGATACAGTCGTATGTGTAAACTCATTTAATCATTACAACAATCCTAGAAAGCCAATGCTATTGTTTCTTCATTTTGCAGACAAGGAACCAAGATTCAGGGAGGTTAAGTAACATGTCCAAGGTCACACAGCTATTAGGTGGTGAAGGCAGGATTCAGATTCAAGCAGCCTGCCTTCAGCAACTGTGCTCTTAACCACCCTGTTTTATAGAGGCCAAGTGTAGGTTTTGTCAACAGGATGAGAGAATCATAATGACCCCATTGTTTCGATTCCTTTCCTTAAAGGAAATGAGAATGTTTACGATAGAAGAAACGTTTCTGAGAATGCATGCCACAGAGGAATGAAATTTATGTAGAAGGAATGAACGTTCTGTAGTATCTCACAGGATATTGAAGCTCGAAGACTTTGGCAGTTTTAATAAACTGGGAGTTGCCAAAGAAGCTCAGCTCACCTCCTGCCATTGTAAAATCACCTTGTCTATTGAGAAAGAGAAGAAAAGAATAGAATCCCTATAGATATTCATTGTTTCATCATTTACAAAGTACTTGGTAAAGTACTTTGTGTTGTATCCAATTGGAGGCCCCAAGCAACCTTGAGAGAGGCGAGCAGGCATCACAGTCCCTATCGTGCAGAGGGAGAAGTACGGGTGTAGGAAGGTGAAACGACCCCTCCGCACCTTACAGCAGCTCTTGGCAGCTCCTTGCCCTCAAGCCCAAGTCTTCTCATTCCTGTTCTCTGCCCTTTCTCTGTTGCCAACTGTGCTCTTTCCCTGTTCCCAACAGTGAGGGCCTTGCTGGAGGAAGATGTGGGTAAAACTTCACATTCGGACCACTCTCAAATGCTGGGATGGGTTTTACGGGAAAGGCATCCTAGGGTCTGGGATCTCCCTAGGGGTGACCTTCCCGGTGCTATCTTTCATCAGCATTTTAGACTCAGCTTCTGGCCTTTGGCCATTGCCTGGGGGCTCCCCGCTTGATGCCGGTTATTGTATCCAAAACCCCCTTTCCCTTCCTTCCTCCCTGGTTCTTGGACATTCCATACAACCTGCCTCAGTCATTCACAGTGGCCTCCAAGGCCCTCCGCCCTCAGGAGTTCTCTCTGTTCTTGGGGGTGGCACAACTGTGTCCACTCACCAGCAGGACTGCATCTTCCCTCTGTTTCTCTCCACCAGCCTTATTCCCCTTTCTAGCTCCTCTGTCCATTTGCTTGATCTACTGTGGGTGCTTTTCTTTTTCTGCCCCACACCACATTCCTGGAATGATTTCTTACTCTACACCTGCCAAAAGCTCTTTCATTTGCTTTGAAACTTACCTTGACCCCCACGGACCCTGTGGGGGTGCCACAGGGCTGAAGCCATGGGCCATCACCACCACCCCTCCTGTGGTCTCCAAAGCAACAGCAACCAGATACCAAAACAACTCGTTACTCTGCCTGGCTGAAGACTAGATTATTAAAGGGAACAAGATTCTAATGAGAACAGTTCTCTGAATCCTGCCTGTGAGTCACTTAGAGAGTGAAGCACAAACAACTATTTGGAACACAAATGCGTAACCTGAAAAGGCTTCATCCCCTCACCGTGTGGCTGAAAATCATGAGCTGGACTGAAACGCCCTGAATGGGGTTTGGGTCAGGGTGGGTGTAGGAAGAAATGGGCTGGGTAGGGGAAGGAGCTATTTTTGGGCGAAGGTCCAATCACATTACATTATGCTAGCTCTGGACCCACCTGTCTGCTCAGCAGGACTCCGAGTTCCTTGGGGGGCGGGGATATGATACACCCCCACTCCCCACCATGTCCCCTGCTCCCAGGACTGTGCCAAGCACACAGTGGATGTTCAACAAGTGACTAATACCCATAATGCCATGCGTACAGTTTTAAAATTTATTTTTAATTTTTAGATGGGGTCTTGCTGTCGCCCAGGTTGGGATGCAGTGGCGTGATTATGGCTCACTGTAACCTCAAATTCCTGGGCTCAAGCAATCCTCCTGCCTCAGTCTCCCAAGCAGCTGGGACTAATGTATGCTCCACCAAGCCTGGCTCATTTTTTTTTTTAGATGGAGTTTCACTCTTGCTGCCCAGGCTGGAGTGCAATGGCACGATCTCAGCTCACCACAACCTCTGCCTCCCAAGTTCAAGCAATTCTCCTGCCTCAGCCTCCCAAGTAGCTGAGATTACAGGCATGCGCCATCATGCCCAGCTAATTTTATAACTCATTTTGAATTTTTTTTGGAGACATGGGGTTTTGCTATGTTGCCCAGGCTGATCTTGAACTCATGGGCTCAAGTGATCCTCCTACCTCAGCCTCCCAAAGTGCTGAGATTACAGATGCAAGCCACTGTGGCCAGTACCAGTTTCCTATTCACCTTGAATACAAGCATATTTCTAAATGTCCATCTTACACTTTCTAAATATCTCATCTCCATAGCTTCTGGCTATTTATCATACATACTGGGGACCCATCTTGGCCAGAATTGTTCACAAAAAGATTTTTTTTTTCATCAGAACTATGATTCTTCTGTTTTAGTTTAGTCTTATGCTCAGCACAGAGAAGCTGCCTAACAAATGTGTTCTGAAGTAAACTGAACTAAATAATGAATGTGGGTTTCATTGTCCATTGACTGCTCAATTTCTCCTTGAATGAAAAAAGTTTGCAAATATTCCAACTAAGAAACCAAGAGAATACGTGAAGTCTATCCCTCACCTGTGTGAGGTCATGGGGATCTTACAACCCTGGAGTCCTATTTTCCCCACTAATTCAGGGAGCGAATCCACCCCAGCCCACTGAGATCTTGAAAACACTGCAAGAAAGAGGCTAGATTGACAAGAGGTGGCAGCATTGTGTTTACTCACCAGCCAGTCTGTCTGCGGTCCCCATCCTGAATTCTTGCACCAGTTCACATTCTGCAGGGAGAAAAAGCAGTCCCTTGTTCTCTCCTGTATCTTCTGTGTGGCTGCCGACTGGCCATGACCTGAAGCCAGCACAGGACTGACTCTCCCTGCTTTGTTTCTCCTTTCTTCTCTCCGCACAACTTATTCCTTCAGGAAAGGCAATGTCGCTCCTTTTAGACTTCCCAATGCTGTGTGTAGATGGGAGTATATTTCTCAGCCACAAAGAAATCTCAAGCTGGATCACAGAGGTGATGCTTCAGTCTGGGCACCTTGGCACAACGTCACTTCTTTCAGAGGCCTCAGAAGCTGTAGTCCTGTGTCCATAGATTTTGTATGAGTCATCTCCATTTCTGCCTCGCAGGACCCTCAGCAGGGTGGGCCACTCTCCAGTCTATTTGCTTATTTTGTCTTGGCTTCTTCTCAGCGTTGCCTTCTCCAGTTTAGCCCCTTGGAAGCTGGGCTGACTTTGTCAATTTGCTGCATGATTCTGAGGATACCTCCCAAGTTTCTTCCTTGTCTTTTCTTTCTCTTGTTGTCACTACTTGTCTCCATCTCTTTCCATTTCTCTGATCTCTCTGCGTTGTACAAAAATTCTATTTTTTCTTTCTTCCCAACCCAATCCTTGAGTCTTCTCATACTGAGAGCTCTTCTTTGACTACAGTCTCCATGGGGCTATGCCAGCCAATCAGTAGATCGGACCCAAGAGCTTGGAGAATACTGCTGGCATTTAGTTTGGGCTTGGGTTAAAGCCTCCCTGGCTGGGGAAGCAGAAAGGGCTGAGGAAATAGCTGATTGCTGCAAAGCCAGTGCTTGGAGTAGGCTGACTAGTTAGGAAGCAGAAGGCCTGTGTTGTCATCTACAAGCGAGTAGTCGTCAATCAGGTGCATGAGCCTTTCCATTCGTCCCAAGCCCAGATGAAATGAGAGAGAAGCTCCCCACAGGACGCCTAGCCTTGCGTCCTTTCTCTGGAGAGTCTTAGGGGTACCAGCCTCTAGACCTGCCTATTTCTCCCCCTTTAATTGTCTTGCAAGGAAACAAAGAACTATTGATTTTATTATAAGTCTAGGTCTTCTTTGTAGTGCTATAGGGCTTTTCATCTGAATGGCATCATAATAAGCAGTGATAATGGTCTTGGGGAGTGTAGATGAAGGACCTTTTATCTGAGACTCAAGCAGAGTGCAACAGGAATACTGTCATGAAAGCTCATTGGGAGAAACACTCCAACAAGCTGTCAATAAAATGGCAGCTCTGGCTAGCAGCCAAAGCCACAGTGGAGATTGGGGTGCTGCCTCTTGAGATGCAGATGGTATTTGATGGTGCCTATAATTATACAACTTTTATATATTCAGAACTTTGGCTACCACTTCCTCAGATCTTCTGGTGCCTTCCTTCACCTCCTAAAGCAACCCTAAATGACTCCAGTTTGCCTTGCAAAATCCCCTTGCTCATGCTGTGCTCGGCATTTTCTTTCCCGGTGCCCAGGCCCTTGGGTTTAATTACACGATCATAGAGACCTCCTTTGCTATCTTCAGATGTCTGGTTCTTAAAGCAGGTGGCATATGCAGTCAGGCTGGAGATGGGAAGCCCAGGACAGAATGTGGTACATCTTTCTGGTGTATCCATTTCTCTTAGAGAATTGGGCAAAATATTTGAAAGTTTAACTGGAAATTTAAAGGGAGCTTTTTAAAAACATGAAAGCCAACATGGATATATGATGGACTATAGGGTCAATTCATATGAAGTTTAAAGGTCAACTATAAGTGATTTCATGCCTGTGGAGGCCCCTTTGTGCTATCTCCCGACTTTCCTAACATACCCATCTACTCTGTTCGGATACTACGGATACCCCGAGGAAATGTTTGACAAACACCTCTTTATTCCTTTCTCTTTCGTCTGCCCCAA